CCTGCCCCCCAGAGAGGCTCTGAAAAGCCCGCATGCTGGACCTCCATTGCCTGCGACAGGCAGCCTTCCTGCCCCCCCTCCGTGGTAATTGAGTGCGGCGGGCATCCGTGAAGCGTGTCTCCGTCTGCCGGGGGTCCCGTCCTGCGCGTGATGCCGGGAGACATGTAGCGACAGCTCTCCGGTGACACGAGGGGGAGGGGCGGCCGGGGACTGGGGAGGGGGGCGTGGCTTATCTTATCCTATCCTATCCTATCCACACCTCGTCCTCTATTCTGTGGCCAGCCGCTGATGCCCCCCCCCCCTTAAATAAAAGTACCCTCCCCCCACCCCCACAGGCATTCCTCTGTTCCTGGGCCCCTGAGGGCCTAAGGACTGCATCATGGGCTCCCAGCTGCCACATTAACATATCGCCATATTCAATTGCAAAGCAAACTCTGGGCAGTGATTCTAAGAGACCCCCCCCCCCTTTTTTTCCTGGGGAAGTGGTAGCGGCGGTGGGGGGGGAGCGGCGGCGGGGAGGGAATCTGAGCAGCCGCTTCTTTGATAGAGCTTGACGCTGCCCTTCAAGGGGCTTTTGACATTCACAGGGCTCCCTCATTCGCAGGACAACGCTCCCGTAAATAAACGGGGTCATTATTCCCCCCCGCCGGAGCAGACGGGGCAGCAGGCAAGCGGCGCGGGATCCCCGGGGGGGGGGCATCCCCCAGCATGTGGGTACGGGCAGCTCACACCAGATCGCCACAACGGCCCCCGAAGATGAGGCCAGGAAGAACCCCAGTACTGGCATTCTGCCCCCCCCAATCCTTGGTGGCCTGCTCCTGGATGGTGGGGGGTAATATCTGCCATGTGCCGTGTCAAAACCTCAGGTCCATTTGACCCGGAAGGCTGAAAGAGATCCAGGAACTCTGCTGGCAATTTGGGTCCCACAAAAGGCACTTCAGCCTGGGGTCTGCCGTCCACGCAAAGAAACATCAACATCTCGAATGCCGCCCTCAGAGAAAGCAGAGCTTGCAGCCACCAGGGGGAGTGGAGGCCGAGCCGGGTTCTGGGCCGTGGTACCATGGGTGAGCGGGCATCTGGATGAGCTGACACGTGGGGAGGTGGGGGGGGGGCACTTGGCGCCACGCCGTTTTGCCGTACAGTTGCACAAAAGCCAGACGGCTGCCTACCCCCACCCCTCGCGTACAATCCATCTGGCCATCTCCCAGAGCTCTGGGGGGGCAGCGCTTGAGTGACAACATGCCGGTTGTGGGAGAATGAGAGTGACAATGTGATGTAAACACCTCGGGGACATGCCCCCCCCCCAACCCAAACGCCAGCTGTAAGGGGGTCTGCGTCACACGGTAACAGGACCCAGCGCCAACCTCCAAAACCCTGAATGTTTACTCCCACCGGGCTCATGCTCGGAAATGATAGTGGGTCCAGAGACTGAGCCGGATGGAGCAGCCTGGGCTTCCTGGGGTGGGGTGGGGTGGGGGGGGGGGGGGGGCGTGTTGGAGCAGCCAGAGAGTGAGTGGCAGACACGGAGCGGGGGACGAGGCCAGCGGAGAGGAAGAAACAGAAATTAGAATCCCCTCCGTAAACAAACAAACACCGTGATGAGTCCTCCCACACTGGCCCAGCTGCATCTGAGTCACAGCGGCCGCCCCGCCCCTCCCCTCACACAGATGCCAGCCTCCTGTGTGAGTGCGACTCCCCCCACTCTCCCAGGCCATTTCTCTGGAATATTCTCAAGCGTACCACTCACGAGCGGTACTGGATACTGGTGGAATTCACCAAAAAATCCAGAAAATGTAAAACCTCTGAGGACTGACCTCCAAGCCCCCCCTGCCGCACCTCCCATCGGCTGAAATTCCTCCCGCCACTGACACAGGGGTGGCCCGGGTGCAGGACTGAGGTTTCTGGAAACATCCCCCAGCCCCACGCTGGGTTACGCCAGGTACCAACCGGGTAGAACCCATGAACCCATTTATGTTTGGACAGGTTGGATGTGACTGGTCAGACAGACAGGCCAAGAGCCCCCCCCCAACTCACCCCTGAGGACTGTTGGCCAAGAGGGGGGCCTTGCAGTACTCCCCCTTAACAAACTTCTTTCTCCTCCATTATTCCTCTGTATATGAAATGCTTGTCTCTGTGCCCCCCCCCCCCATTCGCGCAGCCCTGAAAGCTTTTGCCACTTAGCAGTTAATGTGAGCTGTCCTGCAACACATGATCAGATCCACCAATAAAACTGCTTCATCGATAGAGCACCATTGACAGCCATTGACAGCCCGACTCTTCCCCCTCACCCCGGTTTCTCATCCCAAAAAAGGTTCCAACGAGATGAAAGTGGGGAGTGGGACGCAGTGAACTTGAAGGAGAACAACGGAGCTGAGTGAGGCATAATTAAGAACCTTCTGCAAAGGGCATGGCGGTCAGTAAAGGGGTCTCCATGCGTCTTTCTGCAGCCCAGTGTAATGGCGCATGCCATGATGTCACATCCTCCTCACCGAGGTCACCGTGGTCAGATCATATGCTTTGGCATGGCTCCTATGTGTAAGCATGCAGAGTCATTATCTAATACAGACACGTGCACATGCACCTTTCGCGGTGCCGTGTGCAGTGTATCCTGGGGCCTCACGCCGGTTCCCATGGTGAGCACCCGGCATCTCCCATCAGTGCATTTTCCCATCATGCCTCCCTGCCCTTCCCCACCGAGCAGCCAATGAGAGAGCTCCACCCCTGAAAAGCCATCAGTGCCTCCCAGCTTCCTCAAATTAAAGCTTAGTGAGCTGAATCAGAGGCCAGTGAAAGAGTGACCTTGTAGGGGGGGGGGTGCTTGAGGCCTACCACCTCATAGCCAGGAAACACAGGGACCTCTTCCATGCCTTTTCTGCAGGTCCGGCACCCAGCAGGGGGGAGGGAGGTCAGTGACACCCATAAGTGTGGCTTAAGGTTCAGAAGACGAGACACAGCATTTGAGGAACAGGCGTAACGAAGGAGCACCACACACATCCTGTATTCTAGACCTTTCTTTCCGTTGACATACACTGCACGTGGTCATTTATCTCTCTGCGGTCATAATATGTGGTGTTTACTGAATGACCCGCGAAAACCAGTCAACTGAAATTGCCATAGCGACGGTTTCTAAGAAGTCCACTTTCGTGGGATGGGATGGATTGTGCAACTACTTTCAAGATGTTGATGCAAGACAGCTGCAGCCGTTGCACTAGGTCATAAAATATTTATTACGCAAAATTACTAAATACCGGCAGAGAAATTAAAGGAGCAAGACTAGCAGCTGGAAGATGAATCAGGCCTTGGTCTCAGATCATCCTTGGGTGTGTTTCCCAAGTTCTCCCGTTACCAACTAGCATAGTTGGAGCCATTCAGTTGCATGGTTCCAACTATGTAAGTTGCTAACATAGTTAGCGACTATACTTTTGGGAAATGCTCCCCTTTATGGTTATAAATGTGAAAGTGTTGTTATTTTCTGCACACGACTATGGCGACTGAGTCAGAGTGCCGGTGTATTATCACAGGAGACACAGAGGCCAGTGTTTCAGCAGGAACTGGCACGGTCTACGTACCAGCAAGACCAGTGGCTGAGGTATGGGCGTGAGGCATAACTGGGTCTGTTCTTGTTTAATGCAAGACACAGATGTCCAACTTTTCTCCGCAATATCGGCGAGGAGGAAGAGCATGATGAAGAGCCCCACCTGTGGCACATAGGGCGATGAACGTCTGCGCATGCTTGCGGACCAGCGCCAGCTTGTCCTTGGGCAACGGAAGCTTCCGGACGATGTGTTCGATGAAGTCGTTGGGGGTGACTGCTGCCAGGTTCCACTTCAACTTCCCGAGGACTACCAGTTCCCATTCCTGAAGGGGGGGGGGAGAAGGTGCAAGAATGCAGGTCAACCTGAAACCTGTTCAGTGTTGTTGTGCTAGAACATCAGACTCAGGGGGGGGGGGGGGGGTCCAGGCACAGATAAGGAGGATGAGAGGGGCTCTCGAAACTGCAGACCGATGCTGCTCAGGTCCTACAAGCATCTCAAGAGCAGCAACATCACCTGGATACTCTATCTCCACCCAAACCTCTATGCTATGTGGCATTGGATTAGACTGGGTTGGTGTGCTGTTAAATTCCACCTGCTCACTGTTCTCTGGGATGAGTATTGCTGTATGTTCTAGAATGTTCTGTGTAGGAATTTGGAGGAAACCTTGACCACCAAAACCCCACAAGCTGTGTCCCCCATAAAGTCCAAACTTTCTCATCCCCAACCCTTACATCTTGGTTTCTTTCCACTCTGCCGAAAGGTTAGTATTCTCTTTTTGTTTCCATACTGTGTCCTATAAGGCTGTTCTCCCTGAGAAGGACACTGGCTCCCCCAAATAAAGATCCTCTTTCCTTCCCAGCCCTGTACCTCGTGATTCTCCTCATTGGCCCAACCGGAGACATGCACTGTCATCACTCTTGCGGCTGTAGTCACGTTAACTTGTTCATGTCTTCCTAACAGTGTGCACACTGCCTATGGTCACATTCTCCCAGTTCATGTCCTGATGATGCTAGTCTGCGTGCGACAGGTTTGACCTCATTCCTGTGTTTATGCTCGCGGCCCGCTAGCATCCCAGCTTGTGATCATGATACCCTCCTGTTAGCGGCAAATTTGCCCCCACTTATAAACAACCGCTTTGCGTCCGGAACAAACTGTGCTCCCCCCTCCCTCTATTCCTCGCATCTGCAGGGGAAACCCAATGAGTTCCTCTGGTATATGGGACTTCCCTTAGGAGGTCACCTTTCAGAACTCAGAGGCCATCAAACGTCCCAGTCAGAACACCCGGCGGCCCAAACACAGGAATCTGAGTCGTTTACTGTAAGCTGGGCAGCGGATGAGCCATTGACTCAGCAACATCAGAGCTCGGTTTATGTTCCCACAATTACTCAGCAACTAGCAATTAGCAATCAGTTACTGTAGCCATCACAGTCATTTATTTACTTGAATGCTTTAAAATTAACCTGAAGCAGACTTTGATACTAATGCCAAAGACATGACCATATCAGAACATCCTTTCGGTCATAATAGTCACACAAAGGGATCCATGCATTCTTTACTCCATCCACTGTGAAATAATATAGCCATCAGTTTAGATGAAGACTCCGAAATGCCTTTGCATGGGTCTGACCACAGATGAACACATCCACAAACCATGATTCCGGAGCCCACACACCGACCACAATCCGTCGATCCGGAAACATGACCGACCATCACGTCTCGTGAGTCTCAGCTGACTTGTGATTGTTGCTCATCTCACACTGGTGTCTGAAGTTCTCTCACTTTTGTTGCCCCTGGAGCCCGTGCTGCCAGTGACACAGCGACTAGACAATGCTTGGTGTGTTTTGGCAAGCGACTTGAGTGAGACCTGCTGCTCTAGAAGCTTACGACTCGGACAGGAATGCCAAGCATCCTGGTCAGCGATTAGCCAGGGTGGGCGATGTGCAACTCAGTGGGTTAGAATACTGTATCTGTGATTGGAAGGTTGCTGGTTCCAATCCCAGGGTCAGCAGAGTGATTTCACCATTGAGCCCTTGAGCAAGACCCTTAATCTCCAACTGCTCCTGGAACCGGCTGACCCTGCTTTCTCAAATCGGTGTCAAGCATCTACAGCAGGGGTCTCCAACTCCAGTCCTGGAGAGCTACTATCCAGTCGGTTTTCTATCATACCCGGCTTCTGATGAGCCACACCTGTTCTCAGGTAAATACCAGGACCAGGTGTGGCTCATCAGAAGCCAAGTAGGATAGAAAACGTACTGGACAGTAGATCACCAGGATCGGAGTTGGAGACCCCTGATCTACAGGAATGGGAGGTAATTTTGCTACGGCAGTGCTCTGGATTCTGCTGATCCTCAACCTGTGTTATGCACGGTGAGTCTTTCCCACCCCCAACCTGTAGACAGTGACATACGGGACAGGAGAGCGTCCCTCTGAGCTCATAAAGATAGGTGCGATGACACGCTACCTCGTCACTGAAGATGGGACGCCACAGTGTGGTCACACGAGACATGAAAGTGGGAAATGAAACAAGGGCAAAAACGGGGGGGGGTGGTTTACCGACAAATGATAAATGATTTTCTGGAAAAGAAACCATGAGGCAAGCTGGCATGCTGTGGCCCTGCCATGTGCCTGCAGGGGACCGGTCCGCTGCTCAGCGTCTCTCTGCCCGTGATTTTCCCACGCCATCTGAGGCACTGCCTTCTTAAGGTCATCCGCCTTCTGCCATCAGTCAGCAGAGCATTTAAAGCTCAGCTCGGGGAACATAAGCACTATATAATACCCGCATTACCCTGGTAAATATGGGCAGTGTGGAAGACTTTCCTATGATTACCATCGTGTCACGCTCTAAGTGAAGCCTTCTCTCTATCTGACTAAGGTTACATCTCCCTGCCACGCCGGGAGCTATGGAGGACGCCTCAAACAAGCGGCCGTCTTGCAAATCATATACAGTAGAAGCAGCCACATCTTTTCAAGTCATGTAACTCCTTCGGAGTGGGGGGGGGGGCAATAATCACATTCTTTCATCGCTGTCTGTGGTTTTTACAGGAATTTGTCACCAGAAAAAAAAACGGGGGGTGCAGCAGATATGACTTGCTCAGCTGACTGGCCATTTCCTTTTCTCAATCGATTGGCCAAAAAGAGGCACCGTGAAAAACAACGATGTGAATACGCAGATCATGAAACCGCCCCAAGCCTGGGGACGGCCCCTCCTGTGACTCTCGGTTACAGTTTTATGCTGATCGTGTGGG